GATGAGTTCATGTCCTTTGTAAGGACACGGATGAAGCTGGAAACTGAGCAAACTATCATTCTGAGCAAACTGTCACAAGGACGGAAAACCAACCACCACATGTTCCCACTCATAGGTGGGAATTGAACAATGAGAACACTTGGACACAGGGTGGGGAATATCACACACTGGGGCCTGTCGTGGTGTAGGAGGAGAGGGGAGGGATAGCATTAGGAGATATACCTAATGTAAATGATGAGTTAACGGATGCAGCACACCAACATGGCACATGTATATGTATGTAACAAACTTGCACGCTGTGCACATGTACCCTAGAACTTAAAGTATAATAATAATAAAAAAGACTTGTTAAACATTTTTCTGAACGTATTAGTGCAGTATGCTTATGTATTTCTGTGTGTTTCTACATTCAATGATATATAGGTATATTACATATGTGTGTTTCATAGGATTGAAGAAATGAGGGCATCTGATTTTCTGAAAATTAGTGTCCCAACTGGTTTGCAATTACACAATTACTATTCCAAGTTCCTCCCAGGATAGAATATTGAGGGAAATTACATGTAAGATTTTTATTTGCATGTGCTCATTACCCTCGTGAAAATTTTCATCAACTCCAATGAGCCATATACTTCGGTGGAAGTGATTTACCCCCTTTACAGTTCAGTCTGGCTTCACACTTGCCAGGACATCTGTAATGAGGCAATTGAATGCATTTTACATAAGGGATCATTCCCAGATGGACTATGTGGGTGGTAGAGAAACGCTGAGATAATACGTAATGGCATCGACTTTGCCCAGCAAGATCAGTTTCATAGAGGAAGACCTTGCCATTCAAAGCAGGCACGGTCTGATCTTTTCCAATAAAGAAAAATGATGATATGATGTATCTTTCTGTTCCAGCGGTCCCTTGCCCCAGCATTGAAACTCAGCTCTCAGAACATGTCATCTGGAGGCTGGTTTCAGGATCCTTGAATGAGTATGGCGCTCAAGTATTGCTGAGCTGCAGTCCTGGTTACTACTTAGAGGGCCGGAGGCTTGCGCAGTGCCAGGCCAATGGGACGTGGAACATAGGAGACGAGAGGCCAGGCTGTCGAGGTAAGTGATGAGGGATGCACCCCCGAAAGACACGGCATCCTGGATTATTCTGGATGGCTGCTGTCAACGCTGAGCTTCTCTAGTGGAGCTATCATCTGTCATAGTCCTGTAGATCAAAAGCACAAATGGCCTGTCTTTTCATTACAATGTGACATACTTACAATGACATACATATTGTCATGTGACATGCTTAAACCACATTGCTGCTGGATTAGACATTTGATGTTGTCTTTTCCTTGTTAATGATTGTATTTTTCCAACTGTATTTCAAATCAGCTCAAAGACAAGTACAAACCTATGTGTAAAAAGATAACTCTTATGCCAGACAGGCTATTCAAGAGTTCTAATTAAGATCTTGGGAAATAGTATTAATGCTGAAGATACTGTGTTCGCAAATAATGACTGTCTTCAAAAGGGAGATGATTATTCTCTTAGGTACAAGATAAGCAGTTAAAGCTTTGAGTGAGTTTCACATTAAATACGGATAAATAGAAAAATAAAACAATGCTAGTATTGTTCAGAGCACTCTTTGATTCAGACATATCTAATATACAGTCTTTACTTGATTGTTCACAGAAAATTATCACGCATAAAAACAAGTAGTTTATAATTTATAAAATACACAGCTTAGTAAGAATACATCAGAATAAAAAATGAAAAAGACAAAAGCATGAATGTTTAACTGTCTTTGGTAATAATTTTAATTCAACTTTTAATAGAGCAAACTTTAATGAAACACATACCACAAGCTCTTCGCCAGGAACACAAAGATAGATCAGGAAGGATTGCTGGCCTCAAGGAGCTCAAAGTTTTCATAATCGTAATGAACATGGTCCCTGTTTCTCCAAGATAGCCCTGCCTGAAGCCTGTTTTCCAGGTGTTTATTAATGATTGCTTGTCACTCTGAACAGTGTCCTGGTTTGGATGGTTAATGACCTGGTCACTGAGTTTGCGGGGCCGTTCCTCTTTATTACACCTTTGCCGCTTAGGAAATGCTGCCGTTCCCCACATTCTTGCCAGTCATGCACAGATGTATTCATCCTTAGAAGTCAATTTATCACCTGGAGATTCCGACATTAGCACCAGTAAGGAGAGATTAGGAGAAGGAGTCAGGAACACTAAACTTTTGCCTACTTTAGACTCTTCCCGCCAACATCATTTTGTCGATTTCGAACCAGAAATGGGATCTTAAAAACAGACACTTATTAACTTCTTAGAGGTGGGGTTTTACACGGGGCTTCTGCGGCTGCAACAGCCCAGTACAGCCTTTTCTTGTCTCCCTAGTTTCCCAGGGATGCCCAGCTACGGTATCCCTGTCTACCCAGAGCAGGGTCATGCCAAATAGTATTTGCTGTGTGACAATCTTCTGTGCTCACAGCTCAATCAGCCTTCGAGAAGAATTTTCACATACATTGGAGAGTCTTCTATTTAAGGGAATGTTAAGAAAAACCTCATTCCTGAACTACACTCGTTAGTAGCGAGGCATTGACCTCATTTGGGGAAAGAAAGCAAAGTTGGAGTTCTGCTGTCCTTGAAGTGTTTCTGCCTCCAGCCTCTGAAATTCTGGGAAGTCTGTTTTCCTGCCTCTAGTTTTCTCGACTGTATTCTGGTGCTTCTGACATGGAGTGTGGTCTAGACGCAACCTCCACCCATCATTTGTCGTCACATGTCTGGTTGTCTCGGGCCACACATTTGTTTTGAAAATTGTCAGCTGCTTGCTGACTCGCGGGCTGGGCACGAACTGTTCTATCACACTTTGCTGTTTGTCTCTTGAATGTCATCATGGACATGTGGCATTTTCCAGAGTCACCGGATTCCAGCTGAAATCATTGCTGACTTTAAAAAAAACGATGTTATTAATGTTTGTAGCTCAGGTTGTGACACTTTGGCCGAGGGAGTCCCTTTCACGCAGCTTTAACGTCTCTGAAATGGTCCTTATTTTCTCATGAAAACAGGATGTTCTGTGGTTATCTGGAATTTTTCTTACCCAAACGCTTTGTTCTCCAAAACGCCCTGGTATCTTCTGGTGGAGAGTGGTATCAGAGAACCAGATCCACACCAGGGAAGGCAGTGTGCCGTGCACAGGGTCGGTGAGCTGGGGAAAGTTGACATGGAGTTCATCGTTACTTTTGTGACCAAGCTGAAATTTTCTGCTTGTCTTTATTTTTTTCCTCCCAAAAGGCTTGATATTGATATTGTCAATTTATTCTTATGTCTACTGACTTTTTATAAAAAAAAAAATTATACTAATACAGGGTTTGTCAATCTTTTTTTCTCTTTTTGGAGCATAAGCGTGCTGTCTTAGATGCCGTAGTATATGACTTTTGGTTTAAATTGGGATGCTGGTTAAAACTTTACAAGCCTTAGTGGCCCCTTTCTCCTCTTCATCTCTCTTGCCTCAATGTTTTGGAAATGACATCAGAGTACAGAAGTCTAGAAACCCCTTTACCAAGGTCATTCAGCAGACCCTCTATGGAAGGGATAGCCCAGACTCTTTGAAAGCAACTGTTCTCGGGGGTTTTCATACAATTTTTATTTTTAAAATTTGAGGACCTGTGTTAGTTATTGATTGCTGTGTAACCAGTTACCATACGGTAAGGGCCTCACGATAGCACAGATTGGCTACAGCCCAGCTTCTGGGCTCAGATACCTGGCACATTTTAGCCAGATCCTCCACTCACGGTCTCACAGGACTGCGTTCAAGTGTTGACAGGGATGGAGGCCCAGTGAGGCCCAGTGGGGTCCAGTGAGGCCCAGTGGGGTCCAGTGAGGTCCAGTGAAGTCCAGTGAGGTCCAGTGAGGCCCAGTGGGGTCCAGTGGGGTCCAGTGAGGTTCAGATCAGCTTCCCAAGTCTGGCTCCTGGTCAGAGTCCATGTCCTGTGGCACGTGGCTGAGGGCCTTATGTTATTGCTGCTGATCATGGGGAAGTACTAAGCTCCTGGCCCTGCGTCCCCCACCCCACCAGGCCCTCTCCTAAGTCCAATCTCTCTGACTTCAGGAAGGACTTAGTCCCTGATAAGGGCTCCCCTCACCAGGCTGTTCCCATCCAGAGCATCTCATTTTCTATTAACTCAAAGTCAGCTGATTCCTAACCTACTCAGGGTTCTGCCCTCACTCGATGGGAGAGGATCTGAGGAGATGTCTTTACTCAGGGGTGGGACACGGAGGGACCACCTTTGAATTCTGCCTACCACTAGACCCCAAAGACCTTTTTATAACTATATCATACATTAAAAACTACTATTATTTTAAAATATTCATTTGTGAATTTATTTAGACTAAAACGGATACAATTTTACATTTGTGTTTAAAATAGCATGTCAATTACATGCTTACATAACACATTTTTATGAACGATAAGGATTCATTTTCAAACAAAGCAAAAATTAATGTGAAGAGTGTCATCATTTTAAAAGTTTTCAAAGCTCCTTAATGTGTGGCTTAATAGAGGATGGCTGGATTCTCATAGCACCTTCTGCACTAACTTTGTCAAAATTTGTTGTTTTGGTGGAGATATGTAAAATAAAATATATTGATGGTTGCTACTGTAGTCATTGGAAAGGGGAATGCTTGTTGACCACTAAAATAATATCAGAGGTGTCCAGGAGTTCTTGGATCTTATTTTTAGAAGAGCTGTTTCAGAATAACACCACAAAATACACGGTTTTAGGGCATGTGTACCTAAGGCACAGGCAGGCAGTACACAAAGCAGTGGAGGGAACAGTACAAACAGCAGTTGTCTCATGTTTCCCTCCAACACAGATTTTCATGAGTACTAGTGTCATTATCTATGTATTTTTCACAACCAGCTTTAGTGCAATATTCAATATTATTGATTTTATTTACTTGAGACAAATATTGAGTTCCTCAATATGGTAACCATCTACTCTCTTGAAAGTCACTTAAAAGTATCAGAGAAAACACAGGCAATATAGTGGTGAGAATTATACCACCTTTAAAACTTTGCTCCCCCAAAAGAAAGTGAAAAATACAATTTTTATAAACTTAAAATGTAGGCTGGGCATGGTGGCTCACTCACGCCCAACACTTTTGGAGGCCAAGGCGAGTGGATTACCTGAGGTCAGGAGTTTGAGACAAGCCTGGCCAACATGGTGAAACCCTGTCTCTACTAAAAAATACAAAAATTAGCCCAGTGTGGTGGCATGTACCTGTAATCCCAGCTACTTGGGAGGCCGTGGCGGGAGAATTGCTTGAACCCGGGAGGTGGTGGTTGCAGTGAGCTGAGGTCACACCACTGCAATCTAGCCTGGGTGACAGAGCAATACTCTGTCCCTGCCCCGCACCCTCCCGAAAAAAAAGTTAAAATGTAAACATTATTTTCTGAGATCTGTAAGAAAAACAAATCAATAAACACATTACTTCCTTTTTGCTGTAACACATTTTAATTTCATGCTATGCTTAAATTACATTTATCTGTCATGTTTCCTACTTTGCCAGCACACACACACCACACCATGAATCCTGGTAATAGTATAATTTACTATTAAATAAGTGTGTGGTAAACCCCAGGAAATTAAAACGTAATTTAATTTCTTAATTAAAAGTAATGACTATGACACATTTTTGTAAGGCCAATTTTCCACACCATGGTAGCTTCTTCACAGAAGAAACACAGTATCACTCTCTGCGTTGTATTGGATCAGGACCAACAGAATCTTCAAGGGTAGCATCACCCAAGTCATTGCTGCAGCTAAGAAGCAGGCATTTTCCCTTTTTGTTTATTTATTTTTTTGACTCCCCAGGGTTCATCTTCAAGTGGCCCTGCTGTAAGATCTCCCAGAACTTACTTGTTTTCAGTCACTTATTTGCTTAGGAGCTGGAAATGTTAGAATTTCCCTGTTTGCTTGTCCAGGTGGCTCCAGATGAAGAGGTGAGCCTTGATCACCTACTAATCACATTCATAACAACTGTGGAAGCAGCTGAGAAATTCACCGCTTTTTGAAGGGTTTGTGTTATTCTAACTCCAGGGTAGTCTAATATGTCCCTAGAGAAAAACCCAGGTCTCCACAAGTGAATGGACAGAGACCATAATCTCACCCTTAAACAGTGAGCTCTGCAGTCCTGTCCTTCAAGAAACAATAATAGAAAATTACAATGTAGTATCTAGAGGTGCCTACACACCTTCCTAGCACAATGTCTTTATACAAGTGGAAGGCTCCTTTTCTTATTACGTTTATTTATTGTTTGATTTATTGTACGTATCTAAAAAGAAAAACATGTATCACAGAAATCCATGAATCACAAAAACTTATTTTTGCATTTTAATTTTATACACACATACTGACTCAGTGAGCTACACTGGAATTTTGTAATATTGTAGATATTCAAAGAACACGGCCTAAATTCTGGGCTGTCTTTGTCTCTGGGCTGGTCTTTGAAGATCTCCTGTTTGTTACTAGAGACAGGCCTGGATTGATCATTAAACTTATGGGAGCCTGTGTTTATCAGCAGATGTATTTCATCTATATCCGAGGAAATCACAGAGTCGACATTGTCATTTCGATCCATTGCTGGAGTGGACATTGGACATCACTCAGGACTACCTACAGATGAATTTTCTTGATACTATTCTCACCAGTAAATGCCCAGCTAACATCAGATAATTCTCATGACAGCTCTTTGCCCCAGAGACAGCTGATTTCATGTTTGAACATTTTCACTTTGAGCGAGGCTTCCTATGTGACTTATATCCAGTGATTGATGGTGACTCTATCCCTCTAGGCCTAATAAAACAATTCCTGACTCTGGTCTACACAGAGTGCCTTCATGTATTTGCAAACAACCATTGTGAGTCCACTGAGCCTTTTATTCATAGAAAAGAGCCCCTGCCTGCTCACATATTCCCAGCTGTTTATTCTTCGTGGAGGTCTCAGTGTTCATTTGGCTTTTTTTTTTTTCAGCTAGAATGTATTTGAAAAGACCTACTCTTGAGTTTATGTTTATTTATCACACTCATAAATAATATTCACATTTCTGATAGGAGTGCTGTCCTTATAGGTATGGGAACTGGTATGTCACAATACAACTTTTTTTAAGTCGATATATGTCAACATGAATATAATAATAGAATTGAAGGAAAGACAAAAAAGAGACTTTCCTGTGGGAACAGAGGCAGGTGGCTTGGAATCCCCAGGGACAGTGAGAAAACATGCCGTGGATGTGGGATT